TTTTTTCCTTTAAATCAAAAATTGATTATAAAGAAAGAGATTCCATGTCATTCCTATGGATTTTATGTTAACCAAAACATTTTCAAATCCACGCAATACTGTCCAAGAATAAAATTAAAAAAGTTTATACAGTTTTTTGACATGTCTACCCTTTTTTTGATTCATCTCCTTTGATATCATCCAGTTACGTCTGCATAATGTTTCAGCGTGCTACTCTTTCTGTTCAGAGATGCGGGGACCTGCAACATGTACTGAGAAAATTACATGCCATTACATTGCAGCCAGACAATAACTACTGTTGTGCAGTTTGGAACGGTTAGTCAGAAAAACTCTGACTCAGCTAGCAACTCTCAGTTAGCAGTTAGACAAAGTCATCAGCCAGTTGTTGGTGCTGTTGGGTCAAAGATGAAACAAAGTAAGCATTGCAAACAGGGATAAGCAAGTGGTCTACATCTGAGTAAGTTTTGCTTTTATCTACTAATGTGTTTAGTTGTGGTCAGGAACATAATACTATGATTTTTTCTATGGTTATCTACTGTAACATTAGTTGATCAAAGTGGCTAGTGAAGCATTAGCCATTTAGCAGAGATGTATATGCATTTTCCTTTTAGTCTGGAACAATATTCGCTGGTATGTCTTGGTCAGACATTGAGCTGTGTTAGCTTTGACAATTAAGGTAACAAGTTGGCGGAACGGCATTCTCAGTTTTCTGATCCTGGAGACTTCTTTGCCCTTGTCTACTAACAAATCATTAAGTAATTACTATGTTGTTTGTAAGTAGCATTAGCGGTATTTTAGGGTAATTGAAAGATCGGTCAGGCTTTTGTTACAGATGGGAGGAACTGAGCAAATGGGATTCACTGACATTGTGAGTCAGACATTGTGAGGACCTGTCTGAGTCCTGGAGCTAAAAATGAGATGTTGTCAATAAGCACACTCTAGAAACCAAATGATGCATAAAAAATGTACTCCTGTGCAAAGTCCAACTTTTCTAATTTGACAAACACAAATATATATATATATATATTAAGTTCTAGACATCAAACATTCAGTTTTGATCAAGTCCAACCATACAGAGGTCTTAAACCGTGTGTGAGTTTACGGTTCATCTCCTAAAGAGATTATTAATGTGGTCCCACAGGAGATACGTAGTTGTTTTTTTTCCTTGCAAATACCACCTCACATATTTACTGTGTGTGTGTGTGGGGGGGGGGGGGGGGTGCAGTTACAGTGTGAGTGAGTGGATGGATGGAAATAGCTTGTTGTCTTCTGTCACTGGGCTCTTGGTTTCTTCTGGAGAGATTTGTGTGCATACTTACTTACCCAAATCTTCATTCACTTTGAAGGATTCATTCCTTCGTTTTTAATTTCTCCTGGTCCAATGTGACATGTGTGTAGGTGCGCATATGCACAGTTTTATATCTGTTGGTCCTGCTCTTATTTCATGCTTATGGTGCAAATTCCCATCTCCCTTACCCGTCGCTGCCTTTCTCAATCTCAGTAATCAAATGCATTAGTATCAATATTGCATGGGGAAACGAGCAGAATTTAAAGCTTGACCATGTCAAAGTGAGAGTCCCTGATAGCCAGTGACTGCCACCACTCAGTGGAAATTGTGGATCCATTTTGGCTGTATTTACAGAAGCTTGTCGACTGGTTAATATCTCGAGTGATGGCCAGTTCTTGGTCAGCTTGAAACAAAAGTTATTTTTGAAAAGCACTTATTTCATTGCATTTATTCAATTTGCTTAAAGCTGTTTTTAGTGTTAAATGTAAAATATTTTATTTACACTAAAGGGAAGAAACACTTCGCATAATATTGGCTTATTAAGTCTTATTAATAGTGGTTGGGTGGACCAACTTCTTGGAAAAATATGCCCAACCCTTTTTACCTACTAGTCATTTTGACACCAAAATATGTGAACATATTACCCAGGTTTAAAAATACCAAAATGATCCTTTAAACTAGTAAATTAGGGACTTGTTAATACAGCAGTTCAGAGTCACAACTTTAGGCTAACTAAGCTGCCATTCTTATTGTCCCAGTGATAATTTATGAATGCAGCTCATTTGTCCCAAGATTGCTGCTGAATAATGATTTCCCCTGCTTTATATAGGACACAGAATCATAGTTAGCATACAGTATTAAATTACTTTTTGCTAGTGGTGGCAAGTGACTAGGTAGTACTTTTACTTTGCCAAAGCTCATCTTGTAACAACCACTAAACTATTGCTATTTATCTTGATTTCCTCAAGTTATTGCAGCCATCATAATCACATTGGAATCTGCAAAACATGACCATTAGCAGTTTCCTCTGGATCATAGTCTGTAATGTGGAAGCAGCTGAGGTAATGGTAAGGGTTTATCAATCGATTGGCCTCTCTGCTAGCTTTGCCAGAATACTAAACACACTCTGCCCATTTTCTAGTGGGAAAGTGATGAATGTTTTTAGCAAGAGTTGACAGGTTTTCCCATAGAGGTGCTAAAACCATGAGAAACATACTGTGCTTTCCACATCATGTCTTCCTTTTGGGTGACGGAATGCTTTAGCAACTTGTTGGCATCTCTGTTTAGAGCTTTGTTTGCAGTTGAGGTTAAAATTTTGCTTTGGTAAGTTTTCAGCTTCCCCAGTCCATTGGGGATTAATTAAGAATATGTGTAGGTATGTATCTTTTTATCTAACAACTCTATCTATTCCCTATCTTATATTTATAGTTCAGAAAATAAGGCAGCATTGAGCTGTGTAGACAGTGTCTATGGTTAAACTGAAGCCCACATATGGCCTTAGGTTATGTTTGGTGAGGCCGTTGAACAACAATAGCGGTTGTAATTGTGTTGTGAAGTTTGTATAGCAACCAAAGGTGTATATAGAAAGTCGTTCCCTAAGGGGAGGTCCATAAATCATAACCTGGGCATTTTGCGAGCATAGATTCCCTACAGGCATGGTGAGATTCCCTCCACCCACACCAATGTTTACAGTCAGAATAATAGGGGCATCATTCAGAAGTTCCCTAGACAATTTGATACTCCCCTATTCTCTTTATCCAAGTTTCTATGTTTCCTTCAGTTCTCACCTATGACATCACCTGCCCTCCAGGCCAAGAAAAAAACAAGCAAAGACACACATGTCGGTCGCGTGTGTATTGTATTTTGTTGAAAGACGAGCTGAGCTTCTGAAAGACACCCACTCCTTTCTGGCATGGCGTCACTACAAAAGACCGATTGTTTATCTCTCTCTCTCTCTTTGTGTTTTTGGAAGTGAACACGTGTCACGTGTTCTAGAATTAGTCTATTCGGATTACCTATGAGGTAAAAAAAAATGGTGAGGCCAGTAGATTTACACTATATGTGTGCATTTATGTCATATATGGGTTTCAGTGTTGTGTGTTTGTGGTTTTATTTTAAGTGTGCCTGCTGCTGCATGTGGTTGTCTGTTTCATCTAGCCAGTTAAAGAGCCTGGTCTTGTAGCTATGAAGGGTGGGGCAGCTTGTGTATGCCTGCTGTCTAAGGCGCTTGGTTACACTGCAATTAGCAGTGGTTTTCTGGCTAACAGTAACAGTAACAGTCACAAACGTAGCACTGTAAAACAGTTGCATATATTAAGACTTCTCTTTTTAAATTTTGTTTAGATTTGATTGAATTTAGATCATTAGTCAAGGGTTAGTCAAGTGCCTTGTTTTTACTCAAAAAATGTTTTAAAAATGTTTTTAAAGAATTATCTAAGTCAGGAGGTAGTTTATATATAATCTGGCTATATATCCCTCCATTCCATTGGTATGGTTGGCCTGTAAAGTTGTCTGTCACTTTGTCTTAGCCTATGTGTTTCTGCTCATGATTGCATCTGAATGATATAGATTGTTACTGTCAGTCAGTTATGCTATTTTGAAGTACATTCAGTTCACATCTCAGCCACCGAGTCTTGTCAAAAGCAACTTGCAGTGAGTTAGTAAGAATGAATTTTCATGAAGTGTTCAGGGAACATTGAAAGTGGATCAAAAACAGTGATCATATGTGTGATCATATGTGTGTGTGTGTGTATATATATATATATATCTATCTCGATTGCTGAGACAGACATTACTGCCTGGGTGAGCAAGAATCCACAGCTTGCATTCTTGTCATGGGTCTCTCTCGCTTCTCTCTTTCTTTGTGTCTTTGTTCGCATCTTCTTAATTAAAGAGTATGCATAACCACTTGGTGTTAGGTCTGTGCTGCACCAGACGTGTCAAAAACAGAAATAGTAAGTGTGGTGGGGGGTGTCCCCAGCCCCCCTGTGTAGCTTGGGGGATTAATGGCAATTTGACAAAAACAAAGAGACGGTGCCTGGAATATCATCGGGTGGCTGTGTAATTACAAGGCAATGAGATAAGCAAATAATGACAAGATCAGGCGATTACTGAAGAAAAAAAGAAAGCAAACAGTGACTCCCCTGATAATTAAGGGATGTGAGAAGACGCTGGTTGCAAGATGGGGAGGTTACAGGGTTTGGGTTATGTGACACTTTGCTTCCAGTAGTGTCACCGACACACTGTTGTCTGCCTTCCATTTATGTGTCAGCGCCAACAAGGGGTTGTGAAAAGTGCAGCAGAGTGGCCAAGTGTGTTTATCAAAAGTAGCATGTCCTGTTGATGTGGGCAGGACCATCACCTTTTCACTGCAAGTGGCTCTGTCAAATGCTTAAAAGTGAAACATATAGTTTGGCACCATTTGTATTTAGTATTGTTTAGAACATTTAGAACTATGTTACCTCAATGCCACAGTATGTGTTTACAGTCATTTTTTTTATGTCTGTGGAGCATTTTAATGTTTTGTTAGCTATAGATAATGTATTGTGTCTGTGATCTTATGCCAGATATGAATGTTTAGAACTATGATTATGGATATGGGAGTTTGAAAAACAGCTTGAAGGACAACAAACCTTCCTTACATAAATGAAGTTCATAAGAAAAGATTAAAATTTTCTTTTTAAATTTTAAAATTTCTCCCTTTCTTTTGCAGAGTGCTAGTCCATCCTGCGTGAAGACCCGAACCTTCCCTGCGCAGTCAGGGCCTCGGCTCTCCAGCCAGGTCGAAGATCAGTCCCACCCCACCCCTCCCTGCCCCCTTTTCCCTACTGGAGCCAAGATGGCCACCAGCGGTGCCCCTCGCCTCTCCTTGCCACTCCTGTTGCCTGTCACCACGCTGCTGCTATCACTGCTGCTCACCGGCGCCCACGCCTTATGTAAGTATCAATACACTCACTAGCCATGCTACTACTGATAACTTTGCAGCTTTCCTATGTAGAAGTTCATCATTCATATCTGAAACATAGGTTAGAAAGGGGGCGTGGGGGGATTTGCAGAAGGGTGGATGATAGCAATTCTACAAACATTTCCTTCCTAGGGGCTCATCCTCATTGCCTCTCACACCAAAAGTACAGTCTTATCCACTGCTCCATAACCATCCACCACCCAAATTTCTCCACAATGCCAAAAGCTAGGTTTGTCTTGTAAAACTAAGTGCTATTTTTACATCTACATTTTATATATACTTAAAATGAATGAGCATGGGCCTCAGACATGTAGCTGTTGAAAACACTGACCGTGTGACTTCTTTTTTCTGTGATTTTTCTGTGACCGATCAGAAACCCAGACAATGTTAAATCATGGATCTCTTGAAATATTTACCATTTAGACTTGATACTTGTCTGTATATATCGTCCTCCAAACCTTCCAATGTTAGTAACAGAGGAGCGTCAGTAGTCTCTCCCACCCTGTCAACTCCTTAGGATTTGTTCTGCACCATTTCCCAGTTAAGATGGGCTTAGAGCAGCGTTAGGAGACAAAACAAAGAGGAGGCTCTGCAGAGAAATAGAAAAAGAGTGATGGCAAAGTAGGGGGCTCCCCCTTGGGTTTCATTTTTTGTAAATCCTGTGTGTGAGAGAGTTTGGGTGTGGGTAAGTATGTTGGTAAGTATGTAAAATGATTATATATGTATATATGATTATATATGTATGGCGTGGTGAATGTGTAGATCATTGTGATTGATATGCTTTTCACAATAGGAACAGGTACACCCTTTATATTTGAAAATTAGCAAAGCACAAGAAGGTATCTGCTATATCCAAGTGTAAACAAACACAAAACTAAATTAAGTCTGCAAAACCATCATGAAATGAGGAAGGTCTTAACCAAGACCAAGAGAATCCATCAAAATTGTGTGTAAGGGAGTAAGAATAAAATGGCACTTGAAAATATCAACTGATTCAGCCAAAGTGATATGTCAGACATATTGTTGCACAGTGTAGGTGCCACAACCGACATTTTCAGGAAGTTGAATCTATCTTAGGTAATTTGCAAGATAAATTGTCTGTCTTGTGTGTCTGTCTCTTTGTACGTCTCAGTTTCTGACAGTTTTTAAGTGTGTTCTGAGTGGTTCAAGATAACATGAGGAGGACTTGATTTTTCACATGTCGCAACAGAGCTGTCTACTCTTGATTGGATGGTGGTTTGAGTGTCTGGTGGCATAATTTGAGTATCTTTCAGCCCAGCTGGCTGAAAAGATCTTAAATTGAACACAGACAGATGTCAAACAGATGTCTTTGTTCTCTTCCTTTTTGCCTTGTCTGTCTGACTGACTGCAAGGCCACGTACTCTTTTTCAGAGTGAAAGTAAAGCGAAGGTGCAAGAGCTCCTTCTTGTAACATGTTGCATATTAAGACAGACAATGTTAGGACTCATTTTCTCCTGCGCTTCAACTTATCCATAGCCTATGTTTGCTCACCCTGCTTCATCTTTGATGGAGATTAGCCGCCCCCCCGTCTCTCTTACACACACACACACACACACGAACAAATACACTAACAGCAGGGCTCTCTCCCCATCTGTCAGTATCTGCCCATCTTTGTCTACCTGTGGATATGACCACTGTTTTTGCCTCGCTCTTGTTCACTCTTTGGTTATTTTTTTCTTTCTTCTTGTCTGTACACACACACAGGTTTTTCACACACAGTTTTTCGGGCCACACAGCGTCGGCCCACCACCACACACTCAAAGACTACCTTCTTTTGCTCTCTCTGATTGTCTTTCACACCCACACCCACCACACACACTCATGCACACACATACACAGAGCCCAGTGGTGCAGTTGTCCAATTATAATCACTCCCACCTGGTGGACTGAGAGGATTGAGGGGAGGGGGTAAGACACCAACACCTGGTGTCAACACTGGCTTTCTCTCTCTCACACACAGTGGGTGCCACCCTTTTGCAAAAAAGGCCCAGCTGAAAGCATGATGTCATCCCTTACTCTTACATCCCTCCCTCACTCTGTCTCTCTCGCTGCCCTCCATCCCTTTTCATTTACACTCATAAATCACAGTGAGAAGGAGACATTTTTAATCAAAAGAGAATGAAAGATTGCTCAATAAATCCCACCACCCCAACCTTAATAATACACGATTCCCTTTTTTGTGTGTGCATATTTATATTTGCATAATTAACAATAAAATGTCAAAAAAAACAACAACAAAAAAAACAACAAAAATTACAAATATGCAGTGCAGACAGCCAGTCAACAGTATCAGAAGATAAATATTAAAATAAATATTTATTCAAGACAGCAAAATTGTCTGTTACTCACACTACTGATAATTTGAGAACAATAAATACATGTAAAGATAAAGGAATAAACCAGCACACTATCACCATCTGTGTGCATGTTTTTCTTTCTCTCATTGTAATGGTATATCCTTTATTTTTTAACAGAACAATATCAAAGTTATGTTCCATCATTGGACATTAAATGGTAAAACAGCAATTGTTTTGAAAGTGGAAATCAAATAAATTATTTATAGAATTAATGCAAAATTACAACCCAGGGTGCTTTTTAGTCATGATTAAAGGGGTAAAAAGAATCAAAATAAAGACATCACTGAAGTTGTAAGTGTAACAGTGAATCAAACATAGCAGTCAAAAGGTGTGTTTCATTTTTTGCTTCAACTATCAAACCGTTGGGTTTCTGACATTGTCATGGAGGCAGATTAAAAAAAATGCTCTGTGAATATTGAAAGAGTAGGTAATTACGGAAGTTATCAGACATATGAACAGTAACTTTTAATATTAGTTTTTTGATTTATGAGCTGCGGGGTGACAGAGTTGCCATGGTGTTCACCATTTCATATACGCACACAAAAGTGGCCTAATACACACACATGCACACACACATCACCAGACACTAAAACCTTTGTGGGGCCAGAGTAATCTCAAACATCAGCTCCAATCGCTCTGCCACTATTAACAATTCCCACCATGACAAGTCCTTTAGTTTTCTCATTGGGCATTCAAATCTGGTTTTAGCCACATGGAGATGGGGAATTCTTTCTTTTCAGTTGTGTTCTGTTATTGTCCTTTGGGAGATGATAAAGGTGCAACAAGAAGCGATATTTCTTCTATAGAGGAAACGAGCTACTGCCCTATATTTTCCTGTTATTCGCCTTTGTGCCTGATGTTTTGAAGTTCAGATTTTCTGATATACTGCAATTTCTTCACTTTTCTTGAGTTAAGTGACTCTATCTTGCAATATTTGTTTGTATTTCGTGTTTGTGTTTTTGGACAGAGTTGGAGACTTATTTATCAGCATTTTTATCTGGCCTTTCACCTCCTTCTCACTTCTGCCCCCTCCTTTCTTTTGGACTTTTAGAGTCTTCAACAGTAGCATTCTTGGCAAAGTACTCCTAATAGTAATTGGCCAGAACTCACAGTGATGGGGTGAGGGTGTTCAATTATTTATATTCCTTTGAAGCTGCCAATTGGAAAAAAATGAAGCCCCTTAGTGGAGTTGTTATTTTCTTGTTCTCTTTGTTTCTTTCTCCTGGTTTCTCTCTATTGCTCTCTGTATTTCCTACTCCCTCCCTCGTTCTTTATCTTTTCCAGTCAAATTATGTTTGAGCCAACACTGTCAAGTTAATTCTGTCAAATTCAATTTTATGTGCACCCTGCTGTTGCATGCTTGGCCCCACGCTTTACTTTGTACACTGTTTTTCTCTCAGATGAGAAGAAAACAAGTAAATTTTTAATTACAGTTACAGGCATGAATCATTGCCTCTTGTAGCCTGTTGGTGCTGTCAACATTCTGAAGGTAGTTATAGGTTGAATTCTCAGAGCTGTACACTTAAAAATCTTAAATGGACTGCATTTATATAGCATTTTTCTTGTCAGCGGACTACTCAGAGCGCTTTAAAACAGAGCCGCAGGAGCGGTTAGGGGTTCAGTGTTTTGCTCAAGGACACTTCGACCCTGTCTGTGGAGTAGCCAGTGATGGAACCAGGAACCTTCCCATTACTAGATGACCCCTAATGGTACAGGGAAAGTATTGTAATGGCAGAATAAACGGTGGTTCCAATGCCACTTGTTGCATGATTCACGTGTGAGCTGTTAAGTGCGTGTGTTGTCAAAGTGATTGCTCCTTACTTGCACCTTATAAGACGGCTGAACACTGTTGACAAGGAACCTCCCCTAAAATCCCCATTGAAATCATTGTGTTAAAAGAACAAACTACCAATCAACAGTGCAGCTCTAGCTCATATGACTGATTACCAAGAGGCCACAGGACAGCATTCAGTGGGTGCCCATTCACTATCGAATTTGTTCACACAAACAAAATATTGTGGCAATAGTATGCCAAACAATCCAGAGAAATGTACCTCTAAAAGCAAGGTATTGGTCAGAAAAAAAGAGATAGCTGTCCTCTAAGCTTGCAGCCACAGTGTGGGTGATGTTCATATCTTTTCTCTTTCTTAGTCTCTTTTCAGTAATATGCTCCAGTAGTTTGAGCGATGTACTCAGTTTGACTGAACAATATGAGTGATTGAAGTGCGTGAAAGGCTCTATCCCTCGATGTTTTTTCAACAATTTTTCCTTGTATATGGCTTTACTTGGATTTAAATATAGAGAAAGATTCTGTTAGTGTTTTTTTCAGAGTTTTATATTTTATTTTCACTACAGAGATAGAAGATTGTTTTGACTCAATTTTCTTTACTCTCTTGTACTTTGTTTTGATCAGACCTATAATACCTTTGGCAATTGGAGGTGTCCTCTTCATTTAATGAGCCAACAAGTGTCAATTTCCTCAAGTGAGTTTCTAAATGACACAAAATTGGTCCCATTTCACCTCCTCTGTGTGTGCTCATATGGCCATTTTGAAATCAGCCACACACTTAAGCTAAATCCCCCTCCCCCTTGA